CAGTACCTCTCCCGGGGTCGTTGTCTCAACTCGCCCTCCTCTGATGTAGAAGAGAAAGAAGACGAAAAAGAAGAAGAAGAAGAAGAAGAAAGCAAAGAAAAATAATATGAATAATAATATAAAGAAGAAGAAAAAGGATAACACAAACAAATAATAATAATAATAATAATAATAATAATAATAATAACATTAATAGTAAGAAGCAACGGCATCAACATAATTTGTTGGCGCTCCGCGCGGGTTTCTTGGATCTGCGACGGACCCCCCTCCCTGGCGCGCTCCGCGCGCCAGGGGCGGCGCCAGAGGCGCCGTCGGGGGAGCCCAGCGCGGATCCAAGAACTCCGCACGGAGCGCCAACTAAAATATGTTTGTGCCGTGTTTTCGTCCTCGAAGCTCCAAGTCGGCCCCTGGACCGCTCCCGGGGTCGTTGTCTCAGCTCGCCCTTCTCTGAAGAGGCGGTGCGATGCCAGGCCTTGGTCGGGCATGTCCTCCTACATGCGGATTTGGGAAGGAAAATGGAATGTAGGAAACCAATGCTTGAAAATAGTCAACAATAGTCGAAAAATCGTCCACCGACTATTTTCTGACTGTTCTTTGAATCTTCCTCCTGTAGAGGGGCGTGCCCGACTTCATGCCAGCCCCCTCGGCTCCCCGAGGTGCGGCGGCGCCCTCCTCGTGAAGCGCGCCCTCCTCGACGACGACGACGACGACGACGACGACGACGACGACGACGACGACGACGACGACGACGAGCGACGCCCAGGGGGCCCTTCGCGCTAGTGACGCTCTGAGGGGCCGACCGACACCCCCATGGCCACGCCCCGCGGACGGCCAGGGCCTGCCCCGCGCAGAGGGCCGAGCATATTCCGTCGGGCATGCCCCTCTACGGGCGGAAAGCTCAAGAACAGCCAACAAATGCTCAAGCAGCACAAAAAAAGAGGCCGGGGACGATCTCTCTCGACGAGGCCTCGACTCTGAATTAATCCGTCTTCCAGCATCCGCCTGTTTCGGGGATGGACAGACCCTCCTTTAGCAAAACGTGGTTCAGTGAAAACGACCTCGGGCCCAAACCTGGCGGGCGCGAGCCTGGAAAACAACGGCCGCGGCGCCCTCTCGAGAGCCGAACACGGACAATTCACTAATCGACGTGTCACTGTTGGGGGTTCTGTCCTCGCCCGACTGTTGGAGGACAGGCCCGACCTAACTCTGGTGGGCCGGGGGGGAGGTCCGTCCCCCCGGCGCGCGCCCGGAGCCGCTGCGCGGGGACTTCCTCTCCGCCGCCTGCCTCCTCCCCTCGCCTCCCGCCTCCCCTCCTCCAGCCTCCGCCTCCTCGCCTCTCCACCTCCGCCCGCTCCTCTGCCTCCTCCTCCTCCTCCTCCTCCCCTCCTCCTCCTCCCTCCTCCGCCTCCCCCTCTCCTCCTTCCTCCTCCGCTCCTCTCTCCTCCTCTCCTCCTCCTCCTCCTCCTCCTCCTCCTCCTCCTCCTCCTCCTCCTCCTCCTCCCCCTCTTCCTGCCTCCCCTCCTCCTCCTCCTCCTCGTCCGCCCCGGGCCTCCTCCTCCTCCTCCTGATGCCCCAGGGCTCCGCACCACGACGCCGCCGGCTCCCCACCTCGACTGGCCCCCATGCAGGGCTGGCCAGACGAGGAGTGCAAGGCCTCGGTTCGATACGGCTCCGGAAGGGTGTCCGGGAGCCTCGGGCGTTTGAGCCAGAACGGCTGCGGCCGGGACCTTCGCATGCCGCGTGATATGCAACTCCTCCTTCCCCTTTCGAGCGTTGCGGAGCGGCCAGCCTGAGCACGCAGTGTGCCAAGGAAGTTTCAGACGGGCGATGCCAGACATCGGTGTCCGTTGCGCATCGCCCAAGTGGGTGTCCCATCGGCACAATCGGCGGCGCGCCCAGGGGGGAAGTGAGTGAGAGGGGGCGGGCCTTCTCCGAAGGCTCGGAGAGCCTTCCCCGAAGCCGCAGAGGGCTTCTCGGAAAGCGGGAGAAGTCCCGCCGCCCTCTGAGAAGGCGGCGGAACTTCTCAGAAGGCGGCTGGCGTCTAGACTTCGAGGGGTGCCCGCAGCCAAGCGGGCCCCAGCGGGGGTGTCCGACACACTCCAGCGGCGACTGGACCCGCCGGGGAGGGCTCGCAAGTCGTCGCGGGGGCGACGTCTCCACGTCTGGCAGAAGCCGTGGGGGGCCGGAACTCCCGCCCGGATCCGCTCCGCTGGGGCGCCCAGGGGCCCAGGAGTTGGCGACCTCTCCGCGCCCTGGCAGTGCCAGCCGAGGCGCGGCGGGGCCGCTGCGACGCGGGCTTCCCCCCGGTGGGCTGGCGGCGGCCTCACGCCTGGCCGCACACACCGAGGGCGGACGAGGTCCCCCGGGTTCGGGGCGCCGCTCCGCGGGACTCCCCGGGCCACTCGGGGGCGGGACTCTCGGCAGCTCCACGCACAATCGGAGCGCACGACGCTACAGGGCACGAGCCTCCTCCGACGGCAGCATGGCCCCCAGCAGCCACGGGACACAGGGGCACCCTTCTGGTCTGAAGCCGGGCGTGCCCCCCTACAGGGGGATTTTGGACGACCGGTAAAACAAATTACGCTACCGAGGAACCCCACATACCTATTTCATTTCCCATGTGTACCATTGGTGCTTCTGCTGCTGCTCCTCCTTCTCCTCCTCGGTGTCCTCCTCCTCCTGCTGCTGCTTCTGCTGCTGCTGCTGCTGCGTCTGCTGCTGCAGCTGCTGCTGCTGGTGCTGCTGCTGCCGCTGCTGCTGCCCCACCTCCCCGTCCTCCTCCTCAAAGGGCCCTCACCCCCAGCGCACCCCCTGTGGCGTCGAGGAAATGCCACGCCTGCCACGCCCTGGGAGCCTGCAACGCATAGGGCCCTCACCCCCAACGCACCTCCTGTGGCGTCGAGGAAATGCCACGCCTGCCACGCCCTGCGAGCCTGTAGCGCATAGGGTCCCCGCCCCCAGCGCACCCCCTGTGGCGTCGAGGAAATGCCACACCTGCCACACCCTGGGAGCCTGCAACGCATAGGGCCCCCACCCCCAGCGCACCCCTGGGGGGGTGGGGGCTCTATGCGTTGCACGCAGCGCATAGGGCCCCCACCCCCAGCGCACCCCCTGCGGCGCCCAGGACATGCCACGCCTGCCAGGCCCTGGGCGCCTACAACGCATAGGGCCCCCACCCCCAGCGCACCCCCTGTGGCGTTGTGCTGTGCTGTGCTGTGCTGCTGTGCGGTGAGCTGTGCTGTAGCGGCCGAGCTCAGGGACCACCCCCCTGCACACCCGCTCTGGTGCGAGAAGGAGAAGGGGATCGGGGAGGTGTGAGACGCGGGTGCGGCGTGGCAGGGAAGAAAACCAGAACCCCACGAAACATGTGGGGAAATACGCTCGTGGCTCGTCGTGGGGAGCTCAGCCTGTCTTGGGGCCCTCCTGGGGCCCTCTCCGACCATGTAGGAATCCTCTGGTGGCTCTCTTGGGCCGTCCTGTAGCTCTTCTGTGCCGCTTGACGCTCTTCAGCCCATCTTGGAACCCTCTTTGGGGCCTCTGGGGCCGTCTGGGGCGCATTTTGGTAACCTCTTGGGCCGTCGCGACCGCTGGTAGAACTGAAAAGCGAAGCTCGCAGAAATATACGTTGTCCCATCGGAAATGCTTGATTTGTGCGTTTAGGGGGCCTTATCAGCGGCCTCTGGGACAGTCGTGGGGGGGGTCCTTCTGGACCTTTTGTGGCCCGTCTGGGAGCCTATTTCGGCTGTCCCAAGCCCCTCTTGGCATGTCACGGGTAGCTGAGCCTTCTTGGCGCCCTCATGGAGCCCTCTCCGACCCCCCTGGGGACTCTCTCGGGCTGTGTTGGAGCTCTCTTGTGCTGCTCGACGCCTGGAGCCCTCTTGGGGGCCTCGTGGACAGTGTTGCGCCGATTTGGGGAGGCGTTGGGGCCGACGTGGCCACTGATGGAACACAAGAAGCGACTATCATAGAAATGTACGGCTTTTCATTGGAAATGCTAGTTTTTTTGCACCTGGGAGCCCTCTCAGTGGCCTCCTGGACCGTCTTCAGGGAATCCTGGTAGGCCTTTTTTGGGCCCTCTGGGAGCCCAATTCGGCCGTTACGGGTTCCTCTTCGCCCGTCATGGGGACCTGGGCCCTCGGGGGGGCCTCTCCAACCATGTAGGGATCCTCCGGTGGCTCCCTCGGGGTTCCTGGGTACTCTCTTGGGCCGTGTTGGAGCTCTCTTGTGCTCCTGGATGCTCTCTTCAGGCAGTCTGGGGACCCTCTTGGGCCGTCTGGGGCTCATTTTGGGAGAGGAGGCGGGAGGAGGAGGAGGCGGGAGGAGGAGGAGGAGGCGGAGGAGGCGGAGGAGGCGAGGAGGCGGAGGAGGAGGAGGTAGGGGAGGAGAGGAGAGGAGGAGGAGGAGAGGATGAGCGGAGGGAGGAGGGGGAGGAGGAGGAGGAGGAGGAGGAGAGATGGAGAAGGAGGAGGAGGCGGCGGGAGATGGAGGAGGAGGAAGGAGGAGGAAGGGAGGAGGAGGAGGAGGAGAGGAGGAGGAGGAGGAGGAGGAGGAGGAGGAGAGGAGGAGGAGGAGGATGAGGGGAGTGGGAGGAGGAGGAGGAGGAGGAGAGGAGGAGGAGAGGGGAGTAGAGGAGGAGGAGGAGGAGGAGGAGGAGAGGAGGAGGAGGAGGAGAGGAGGAGGAGGGGAAGAGGGGGAGGAGGAGGAGGAGGAGGAGGAGAAGGAGGAGGAGAGGAGGGAGAGGAGAGGAAAGGGGAGAGGAGAGGAGAGGGGGAGGGGGAGGAGGAGGAGCGGAGAGGATGAGGAGAGGAGGAAGGAGGAGGAGGATGAGAGAGGAGGAGAGGAGGAGGAGGAGGAGGAGGGGAGGAGGAGGAGGAGGAGGAGGAGGGAGGAGGATGAGGAGAGGAGGAGGAGAGAGGAGTGAGGGGATGAGGGGAGGAGGAGGAGGAGGAGGGGGAGGAGATGTCCAGGACCCCCGAGAAAACCGCGGCGCACTCGACACCCTGGCGAAGCCTTGCCACCCTGCTGCGCCCGCGCGATTTGTTCCGCGCGCGCGGTGCGCTCGCCGCGTGCAGCCCGCGCAGCTGGCCGCACCTGCGGCGGCGCAGGTCGCGCGGGAGGGGGGCGAGGACGAGCCTAGGGGAACAGAAAGTGACATAAACCTAACAACTCGGAGGTCCGCGCGGATTTCTCGGATCGGCGCTGGGGACCCCTGGCGGCGCCTCGGCGCCGCCCCTGGCGCGCTCCGCGCGCCAGGGAGGGGGGGTCCAGCCCCGATCCGAGAAATCCGCGCGGACCTCCGAGTTTTTATGTTTGTGTCAGTTGTTGTTCCCCTAGAGCCAGGGCAGGAGGGCGGCACCGCCGGGAGGATGGAGAGGATGGGCGGGGCAGGGCGAGCCAGCGCCCAGACGAGCCGGCAGTAGGAGTACAGTCGAAACGTATAGTAAGGACGCGAGGTAAGGACGCAAGACCCTTGGAGGCCAAAGTTGGATTTTGGGGCGGGGGGCGGCCAGTGAAAACGGCGAAGGACGGGCCGCAGAGGCAAGGACTCAAGGGTATCCTAGAGGAAGGCGCGCGTCCTTACTAGGCGCGTTGACTGTAGGGGCCCGGCCACAAGAAACCTTCCACAAGAAGGCCGACTCTGAGACCCCAGGACGTCCGTTGATCTTTGGTGTGGGGACGTCACGCTGTCCATGGTAAAAGCATCGAAGCCGAAGAAACCCAGGGCACCCTGGAGGCAAGAAGGGTGTTTCTTGACATGGGCCCCCACCGTAGAGGAACAAATTGAGTGAGCGTTTTCTTCTTCGGCGTTTCGACATTGGGCGGAAAGGGGTGGTGGAGGGGGGGGGGGTCTGGCTCCAGACCTTTGCTTGATGTGACTGATTGCAACAGTGCGTCCTATGGGGGAGACTCCACTTTCGTGAAACAGGCGCCAAAAACAGCCAAGATCTACTCCAGGGGGGGGCGGGAGGGAGGTGGTGCGAGGGCCCGCGCCGATCGGCAAAACAATGAATACAACGATCCCAAAAGGCATTGACATAAGCTGTCGGAAGCTCGCGCGGATGCCCTGGATCTGCGCTGGACCCCCCCGCCCTGGCGCGCGGAGCGCGCCAGCGGCGGCGCCGGATGGCCCGCCTGGCGGGGGGGGGGCTCGGCGCCGATCTCTAAGATCCGCCCAGAACTCCGAGATTTCATGCTTCTGTGGCTACTGTGTTCTTCGAGGGACGGCAAGCCGGCACAGAGCTGTGGATGAGGAGGGCAGCTGGAAAATCACGCCAACCGATGCTGCGTGCAGGGGCCCCGGAGGACGGCCACTGCAGGCTACAGCGCCGCGCTGCGAGCCACAGCGCTGCGCCACTAGAGGAGGGGAGGGGGGAGGAGGAGGAGGAGGAGGAGGAGGAGGAGGAGGAGGAGGAGGAGGAGGAGGAGGAGGAGGAGGAGGAGAACAATACGGGAGGGGATGGGAGGGGGGGAGGGCGGAGTCACAACGCCAACTCCCTGGGGTCGATCGGACTGCGCCGCCGGAAGCGCATGTCGCCGGTGGGGTCGCTGAACCTTCGGGGCGGGGCGCGCGAGGGGGTACACCCTACGAAATGCTTAAGAAATCATGGGTTAAGAAATTCATAGTCTCAGAACTTGAATAAAAACCCAAAATTTCCATTCAAATCTTAGGATTTACATTGAAACATTAAGAATAATCGAGACTCTGGCCGAACACTTAAGTTTTCTTAAGCATCGCCTAAGGTGTAGAGGCGAAGGCACACTTCGAGTAGGGAATGGAAGACAGAATTGGTGTACCCGGGGTCGACGACAGAATTGATTTAGCCAAGAGTAGAAATTTCCGTCGAGCCTACACAACATACTTACCATAATGCGCCTAGATCTGCGAACATTGCGCGCACGTGTCCCAGGCCCGATGCAGATGTCAATGCTGGGGCACATGAGCTCTGTAGCCGATCTTCTACTCGGGAACTAAAGGGCTTCTTAGTGGGCATCGGCCCCGTCTTGGGGGCCTCAGCGAGTGCTTGTTGCATTGTCACTGGAGCGTTTCGGGGAGGCATGGTGCCAGGTCGTCCCCTCGCCATGCACCCCCATCATGAGCCTATCAAGACTTATCCTCCCGACCCCGTTCGGCCACCTCCTGGGGCTCATCCTTAACCAGTCTCGGGCTCGTCCCTAACCGCAAAGGGTCATTCGTATCCCCCATCTTATAAATGGAAACTCATAATTTTGTAACGCGGGCTTATGGACGGATTGGGGACCGAAAACGATACAAGGAAAATGATTCTCCTCCCGCGGCAACCACTGCTGAAGCCTCCGCCGTCTTCGTCGTTATACGAGACAATGCCGACGTGGAGACAACTGGAAACCACACCATGTGGGTTTGCACAACCATCCTTGCACGAAGATGCTCGAAATTTCTCCCGCAGCGAACTATTATCCGCTGAAGACGACAACCACTCAATAAAAACCGTTCGGCCAACATAAGTGCGGAAGTACGCGCGCAGCAGCAATCGAACAAGCTCACCACAACGACGGCTGGCTCTTACTGCGCACGATGAACCTGCGCGATTATCATCTGAAGACGACGACGGTCACGACAACGACAACGACGAAGACGACGCGCATACTCGACTTGAGATGTAGCAAACTATCTTGGCATCATTGTACAAACAAGCTCAGATTTCTTCTGTCGTGCAGGGTCGCCCAGCAAGCAGTACCCGATGGGAGAAAAAAAACACCCAACAATACCCAGCACGGAAAACAACAGTGCGCAAATAATTGCACGCGCGGCCACCACCGAACACCGAATAAGCTCGAAGAGGAGGGCGAGGAGGGAGATCGAGGAAGAAGGCGAAGAGGGGACGGGCGAGGAGGGGAAGGACGAGAGGGAGGGTGAGGAGGGGAGCACGAGGAATGCGATGAGGGGGGCGAGGAGGAGGGCGAGGAGGGGATGGGCGAGGAGAGGAGGGACGACTGTTCCCAGCCGAAGCTGGGGGGAGGGGGGGTGCATCATGAAAGACACTCTGCGCTCACTCCCAAGGCTGACAAGCCAAATGGCAATGCCAATCTTATGGATGCGTCCTCAGGAGCTGAGGGGACCCTTGAGATCGGCATTGAGACAAAGGTGATGCCAGTCATAGGAATAGGAATATGTTTCAAGCTGGTATGTCCTTGCGAGCTCCTCGAACTGCGTCCTGCCGTGGCCAGGCGGGCCACCGCGGGGCTCCCAGGAAACGAGGCGCTTCGACACTGCAGGTGTCGAGTCCCCTGGATGGCGGAGCCGTGTGCGCGCCCGTGAGAACGGCGACCGCACAAGCGAAACGACACCGCACCGACAGCGAAGCCGACACCGACAGAAACCGACACGCCGCAAGCTGCTTGGACGGGCGCAGAGACGCAGCAGCAGCTGGCCGAGCAGAACCGACCGAGCGCAACCGACCGCGACGCGGCCGACCCGACCGAACAGTGGACACCATTGATTGAGCAGGGTCTGGCAGTCCTGGAACTCCTATAACTACCCCTGCTTTCAGCCCAGAGAGCTTCTAAACGCAAGGGCCACGTTCATATATAACACAAGACCGATGCATCAACTCACACCTCCATACAAAACTGCTCGTACGCCACGAGGCACTTGTCATATTACATGAGGCCGATGCCCCGAGAACCCTGCGCGAACGCCACACCAGGTGGGTTGCTGCGGCCTGTCTGGAGGGGGATAGGGATAAGGATCGGCGCTATCGGAGGCGGGCCCCTGCCGTGGGCAGGACACTTGGGCTGAGGTCGGGCACGTCCCCCACGGGCGGTTTTTGGACGGGCTATTAAGCATACTCAAACATACCCCAAACAATCTGCAAACATTGTCAACACATCGTCCCCGTACTTAAAACAAATATTGAATGTCCCCCTACGGGCGGTTTTTAGACGAAATATAAAACATACTCACACATACCCCAACAATCTGCAAACATGGTCAAAACATCGTCCCCATACTATTTGTTTTGAATCATGTTTTGAAGACCCCCCTGTAGAAGGACAGGCCCGACTGAAACTTGGGCCGCTGCGAGAACTACGTGCGCGGGCCCCTCGCGCTGAGCAAGGGCCTGCCTGGGGCGCCCCCCGGGGGGGACCGCGGGGGCGGCCCCGCTGCAGGAGGCTCGAGCTGAGCCTCGCTCGGGGCAAGGAAAACAGAGGAGCTGTCCCCCCCTCCCCTGGCACGCACGGGGGGGGGCAGACAAGGGCCGACGGCGGGTCGAGGACGACGACCAGGACACTCCCCGCCACTGCTGGACCGATGGGGGAGGCCCAGCTGCAGGAGGCTCGCACGGAGCCCCGCACGGGCAAAACAGCCGAGGGGCTCCCCCCTCCCTGGCACACACGGACGGGGCGAAGGGGGGGGGGGGCCAGGCAAGGGCCGACGGGGGGCAATGAGGGAGGGAAGGGGGAAGGAGGGAGGGGAGGGAGGGAGGGGAGGAGGGAGGGAGGGAGGGAGGCAGGGAGGGAGGGAAGAGGAGGAGGAGGAGGAGGAGGAGGAGGAGGAGGAGGAGGAGCGCACGTCACCATGGAGGAGGAGGAGGAGGAGGAGGAGGAGGAGGAGGAGGAGGAGGAGGAGGAGGAGGAGGAAGACGACGACCAGGACGCTCCGCCACTCCTTGACGTGGGAACCAGAGGTGACAGGGCAGCGGCCCCTGCACCGGGCCGATGTTGAAGGAGAAGACCACTCTCAGGGGCTCCTTCTCGCCGCGGGGGAGGTCCGAGGCGGGCGCCGTGACGGTCGCCATGTGGCTCAGCCACGAGGGGAACAGGACCAGCTCGCCAGACCTCGCCGGCTGCACGCAAGGGTGGCCCGAGGCGAAAGGCAAAAGCCGCCTTCACGAGCATGCTCGCGTCGTGAACAAAAGTCACGGCGGGAGGCTCTTCCCCGCTCTCGATCTTAATAGGGGCCCTCGCCGGGCACTGGGGCACACAAACAAAACGGCATGGGACGAAAAACCAGCCCTGGGGGAAGCGTCGGGACTTCCGAAGACCCCGTATGCAGACGGCCCAGGCATCGAATGTCTGGGGAAGTGGCCTCTTGTGCGCAGCCTGCTGACATGCACACAGGCAACCTCCCCAGGTAGTCCTGGCTGGCCACAGCAGGCCCCCCCCCCGTACCCCTGACCTTCCAGGAGGGCCAGAAAAAAGCACCCGACTTAACAACCGATCACAGAGCTATTCTACGTTTTGGTTTTAGGCTGTTGCGCTCAGCTGTTTAGGTTTTTAGGTCTCCAGTGCTAACAAAATAGCTCTCTGGAAGGTCAGGGACACAGGGGCAGTATCAGCACCCTGGCGCCGCCTCCGGCGGCGCCACTGGGGCACGGAGCTTCCCAAGGTTGGGGCGGTGGGACGGCCCGGACTACTCGGAGGGCTTGCTTCAAGTCGGGCGTGTCCCCCTACAGGGGGATTTTGGACGAAAAATAAAGAACAAATGCTCAAAAAATACTCCCCAACTGCTCAAATCTAGTCCAAGCATCGTCCCCAGACTACTCTTCGACTAATTGTCTCTGAATTTCCCCCCTGTAGAGGGACACGCCCGACTCAAGGCCTGTTGATGCCAGCCGAGCGGCAGCTGCCGGGGGCTGCCCTTCAGCCCGGCCGCCCCCCGCGCGCTCGCCGCAGCCTCGCTCGCTGCGTGAGGAGTGCCCCCGCGCCCGGCCACCCCCTCCCCGCGGCCGCCCCCTCGCCTGCCCCCCCCCCCCTTGCCTGCGGGTGCATCCGCGCCGCCGTGCCCCGGTCTCGCCCCGACGCGCGTGCGGACCCATGAGCTCCGATGCCGTGTTTTTGTTTTTGTTTTTCAGCACTGGGGAGCCCACAGAGGACGTACGCGCCCAGCTATGTACATGAACACGGCCCCTCGATCTGCGAGACTGGCCGCGGCATGCGCACATTTGCTCAATGCGTGCTCTCGAAACCAGCGTGGATTCATGTACACCCTGCGAAATGCTTAAGAAACCATGGGTTAAGCAATTCATAGTCTCAGAATTTGAATAAAAAAACTCAATTTCTAGTAAACAGTTAGGCTTTCCATTGAAACAATAAGAATAATCCAGACTCTGGCCGAAAACTGAAGTTTTCTTGAGCATCGCCTAAGGTGTACGTGTACGTCCTTCTTTCGCTCCCGAACGGGGTCCCCGGAAGTCTCGACCCCTTCCCCGGGACCGGCTCTCCGTCCCGAGCCGTTCCTGGAGGGCCCCGAGGCCCGGCGAGGGGCCCCCTGGAGGCCGAGGGTTGCAAAAAGACCTCCGCCCGGCTTTTCGTCAACGCGTTGGCTCTCTCTGGGGGTCGCCTCTCGCCCCCGGCGCGCGCGCGGATCGCCTCATGGGGGCGGGGGCTGCCTGGGGGGCCTTTGGGGGGCTTCCCGGGGGCCTCTCAGGGGCTGCTTGGGCCGAACTTGGAGGCTTCTTGGGCGGACTTGGAAGCACCTTGGGCCCTCTTGGAGGCCCTCCTGGAGACCATCTTGGGACCCTCTTGGGCCGTCTTGGAGGCCATCTTGGACCCTCTTGGGCGGACTTGGAGGCCTCTCGGGGCCGTCTTGGGGGCTTCTTGCGCACAGCCCGAAGCCCTCCCGCTGCTGCCGACCGCACCCGCTGCGTGCGCTGCGACCAGTGGCGGCCTGCGCGCCCGAGCCTGGCCCCAGCGAAGGCCGCGCACCCACCCGCCTCGGGTCGGGCATGCCCCCCTACAGGCGGACTTTGGAAGAAAAGTGCCAACAAGTAAGTACTCAAGAAAAAAACAAGCAACACTCACAAAATATTCAATCACCATCCAAAAATGACAGAAACATCGTCCCCGGACTGTGTCTTGACTATTCTTGAAAATTCCTCCTGTAGAGGGGCATGCCCGACTTAATGATAAACACCCGCCCCTCCGGCCGAGGGCCGCCCTCGCGCGCGGCTGGCCTCGGGGTGTGGACGTAGGCGCGGCCGAACGGCGGGCTGTGCCCCCGGGCGTCGCTGAAGCGCAGCTTCCCCGCGGAGGGCCCCGCCTGCGCGTAGAAGACGCCGACGTGGTACTCGCCGACGTGGGTGTGCGGCCCGTGGAACTCGCCCGCGCCGTGCACGGCGGCCCAGTTGAAGATGCTGTAGTTCAGGGACGCGGCGGCCTTCCTGTTCAGCCCGGACCGCTCCAGGTACCTGCGGCTCAGCCGGTCGATGATGTGGCGGAGCTTGTTGTACGCGGGGAGGCCGTTCATCTCGGGCCAGGTGGAGTTGTCGTACGGAGACGGCGTGTGGTGCCGCCCCCTCTTCATCCCGAGCGCCGCCTGCACGTCACCGCTGTTCTCGAAGAGGTCCTTCTGGAGGATGGTTTATTCTATATGTTTGGGAAACAAAACAACACATCAGCTTGTTTGTGTCGTCTGTTTTGTTGGTTTGCGGATCTGTCCTTCTGGAAGTGGAAGAACGCGTCGTTCAGGGAGCCCGCGTGCGCCTTCCCCGCAATCCGCCTGTAGTGGTGGTCCTTCGGCAACGAGGGGAGGATCTCCTCCCTGAACCGGCGCCAGCCCGCTATGGCCTCCTGGGCCAGGGACTCGTGGAAGGAGGGCGTCTCCCAGCCGCCGATGTCCGCAGTGATCGGAACCACCTCCACGTGCGCGGGCCACAGGACGTGGACGTCGGAGGCATAGCTGCCTGGCGCCGCGGGGACGTCGTCCTTTGGTAAGGCTTCGGGTTGCGCACAGGCAGCCCCCACAGGTAGTCCTGGCAGGCCTCAATGGGGCGCGGAGGGAGCGCACCAAAGCCTGTTTTTTTTTGTTTTAAGACTCCGGCAAATCCCACCAGCCCTTTGGGCGTGAGTGGTTTAGCGAGCTTTCTCTGTTCTCAACCCCCCAACCCCCCTTCTTCCCCTTCGGGGAGGGGTTTACCCCTCCCCCTACCCCCTCCCCCTGGACCTGGAGAGCGGAGCCCGCGGGTCGTCAGGGTGGTCTTTTTCGACGCCTGGGAGGGCCAAAAAACGACGACCCTCACGAGGAGTCTGGCTCCGACGGGGGGACCCTCTTGTAGTACCCTCCTCTTCTGTGAAGCCAAAATCCTTGCTTTTACGATGGTTTTGGCCCCATGTTGGCCTCCCGAGGGGGCCGCGCTCATCTTCCTTCATAGCAAAATCATTGATTTTACGAGGGTTTTGGGCTCATTTTGTCCTTTTCAGGGGGCAGCGCTTCTTTGCGCTTCTGAGGATGTCGCAAGAGGCGCCAAGACGGCCCCAAGAGGCCCCCAGGAGCCTCCCAAGAGGCCTCCAAGAGGCCCCCAAGAGGCCCCCAAGAGGCCCCAAGAGGCCCCCAAGAGACCCCCCAGAGGCCCTCAAGAGGCCCCCAGAGGCCCCAGGAGGCCCCGAAGAGGCCCCGAAGAGGCCCCCAAGAGGCCCCCAAGAGGCCCAAAGAGGCTCCAAGAGGCCGCCAAGAGGCCCCACGAGGAGCCCGAACGACTCACACCAGGTCGAGGGGCCCGAACGACTCATACCACGAAGAACCCGAACGTCTCACGCCAGAAGGAGGACCCCGAACGACTCACACCACGACGAGGCGCCCGACGATCACACCACGAGGAGCCCGAACGACTCACACCACGACGCGGGCCCCGAACGACTCACACCACGAGGAGCCCGAACGAGTCACACCAGGAGGAGGGGCCCGAACGACTCACACCAGGATGAGGGGCCCGAACAACTCACACCACGAGAAGCCCGAACGACTCACACCAGGACGAAGAGCCCGAACGACTCACACCACGAAGAGCCCGAACGACTCACACCAGGAAGAAGGGCCCGAACGACTCACACCAGGACTAGAAACCCCAAACGACTCAAATCACGAGGAGCGCTTTCTCTCCCTCCTCCTCCGCCTCGTCCTCCCCACCCACCCCCCACAAGGAGGATGTACAAGGAGGCGGGAGGAAGGAGGAACAGGGGAGATATGCGGGGCCAAATGGACACACGCCTGAAAAACACGACTGTCGGCATGCTTCGCATGAGTTGCTGTTGTGAGATGGGCTGGTGGGGATACGCGAAGCGTAAAGAATTTACTTGCATGGACAAGGGGGGGCTGAAGCTGAAGCAAGCCGCAAACGGCTTGCACGTGCGCAAATCACGCAAGTCTAGAGGCACGTGCACGCTAGTATTCGTTTGAAGAGCGGCGAGGTAGGGGGGGGGGGGGGGGGGGGTGGGCGACGCCATGCAAGTGAAGTCGCCCGAACCTAAAGAGAAGCAGACTCCCAGGGACGCCGCTGGAGGCGGCGCCAGGGTGCTGAGACCGCCCTGGACGCCCCAAATTACATCGGAGGGCCTGTGAAGGCCCGCCGGGACTGTCTGGGGGGGCTGCTCGTGCGCGGGGAGGGAAAATGGGAGGAGGAGAGGAGGAGGAGGAGGACGAGGAGGAGGAGGAGAGGATGAGGAGGGAGGAGCGAGGAGGAGGAGGAGAGGAAGAGGAGGAGGCGGAGAAGGAGAAGAGGAGGCGGAAGGAGGAGAGGAGGGGAGGAGGAGGAGGAGGAGGAGGAGGATGGAGGAAGAGGAGGAGGAGGAGGATGGATGAGGATGAGGAGGAGGAGGAGGAGGAGAAGGGAGGGGAAGGGGGGAAGATGAGGGAAGGCGGGGTCAGGAGGAGGAGGAGGAGCGAGGACCGAGGAGGAGAGGAGAGGATGAGGATGAGGAGGAGGGAGGAGGAGAGGAGGAGGAAGGAGAAGAGGAGGCGGCGGAGAAAGAGGGAGAGGAGGCGGACGGAGGAGGGCGATGAGGAGGAGGAGGAGGAGGAGGAGGAGGAGGAGGAGGAGGAGGAAGAGGAGGGGGGAAGGGGGAAGAGAATGGGAAGGAGGAGGAGGAGGAGGAGGACGAGGAGGAGGAGGAGGAGGAGGAGGAGGAGGAGGAGGAGGAGAAGGAGGACATAGGAGGAGGGGGAGGAGGACGAGGAGGAGGGCGTCCTTCAGGAACTCGGCGAAGCCGTCGCCCACGTCGCAGTGCTGGCACTGAAGCTGCTGCTGCGCCGAAGCGCAGCCCGGCCGCCCAGCCAGCAGCACCTGCGCCCACAGCGCGGCGCCGAGGGCTGAGCGGGCTCCGCTGCTCATGCGGCCGCCGCGGAGGGCAGCGGCGAGAGCCGAGCTGCCCCCCCGAGGCGCGCGAGCGCCACCCTTCCGCCCCGCTCCCCCCCCTTGGTGCAGAACGGCTGCGGGGGAGGAGGGGCCATCGGGGGGGCGGGCGCGCTCACAACGCGAGTCACCGCCAGGCTGACAACCGTTCCAAAGTCCCCTCGTTGCATCGGCAGCTGGCTGGGCTGTTCGGGAGGAGAGAACGGAGGACGGGGAGGAGGAGAGAGGGTGGGAAGAGAAGGGAGGGAGGAGTGGGGGTGGTGGTGGAAGATAACACAAGGAGCCCCTCATCGCCGTGACTGAACGCCCCCCCCTCCTGGTCCAGACCTTCCCCCATTTCGGCCCCTCGGGGCGGCAGCGTCCACCTTCCTCGCCGACCTAATCCTCATCCTCCTTATCCTGCTGCCTGTTTCTCCTCCTCATGTGCCCACGTCTTTATCAGGTTAATTATCCCCCTCGCGTCCTCTCTCCTCCACCCGCCTTCATCAGCTCTCTTCCTCGTCTCCCCCCCCCGCCTCCCCCACCGCCCTCCACTCCCCCGCCCACCCTCAAGAGTCTCCTCCCTTTCCCTCCTGCGGTGAGGGCTCTGGGAGAACGCCTCCTCAGGCGGGACGCTCGGGCATGAGATCCCCAGAAACCACCCTCCTCCTCCTCCTCCTCCTCCTCCTCCTCCTCCTCCTGCTCCTCCTCCTCCCTAGACATCCGATGTCTTGATTTCTCCCAGCGCGGTCCCTGGAAGTCCCGACCCTTTCCCAAGGGCTGGCAGTCGTTGTTTTCCACTCCAGGGCCTGGCGAGGGCCCCCGAAGCCCGAAAGCGACACATCCGTCTGAGTTTGATCAATACACTGATGTCTGGGTCCTCCCCCTCCCCACCACCTCCCTCCTCCATTCGGAGCCGATCTCCAGGGACATGCCCTCCTGCCTCAGCATCGGCCAATACTAGCTGACGACCCCCTGCCCAAGCACCACGCCATCTGGCAAGGCGACGCCTCTGCCTTCCCCTAGCCAGATGGCTCCTCCTCCTCCTCCTCCTCCTCCTCCTCCTACTCTCCTCCTTCCCTTCCTCTCCTTTTTTCCTCCTCCTCCTCCTCCTCCTCCTCCTCCTCTTCCTCCTCCATTCTTCTTCCTCCTCCTCCTCCTCCTCCTCCTCCTCCTCCTCCTCCGCTTCCGGCTCCAGCCTCCGGCTCCAGCCTCCCGCCCCGCTCCGCCACCCAGGAGGCCCGCCCCCCCCCCCCGGCAGCAGCGCGCGGCCGAGCGGGAGCGCGCTCGGGAGAAAGAGAGGCCAGGCTCGGGCCCCCATGGCTGGAGGAGCGCCGGGCGAGCAAGAGCGCAAGGGGCCCGCTTCTGACTGCCTGCCAGACCACCCCAGCCCAACCCGAAGACCCGAAGTTCGGGGTGTGGGGGGAATACGGGGCTCATACATATATACATATATATGTATATATATGCACAAATACACATATATCTATATATACGTATACGTATATGTATATGTATATGTATATGTATATGTATATGTATATGTATATGTATATGTATATGTATATGTATATGTATATGTATATGTATATGTATATGTATATGTATAGGCATATGTATATGTATATGTATATGAATATGTATATGTATATGTATATGTATATGTATATGTATGTGTATATGTATAGGCATATGTATATGTATATGTACATGAAAATGTATGTATGTATGTGTGCATGTATGTATGTATATGTGTATGTATGTATGTGTGTTTGGACATGCTTATATATAGATATAATGTGTGTGTGCGTGTGTGCGTGCGTGCGTGCGTGCGTGCGTGCGTGTGTGTGTGTGTGTTTCGGATGTTCCCCGACCCGCCCACCCCCACTGGAAATGGAGGGCAAATCGGGGCCTTCGGGTGGGGTGGGGCCGTTTGGTGGGCGGTGGTTTTCGGCGTCGCCGGGGCCCTCTCGCGCGCGATCGCCGACAGATCACCGCGCACGAGGCGTTTCCTGCACGAGCGGGCCGCCCACGGGGCTGTCGCCTCTTCGGCCGCCTGATAAGGGGGGGGCGGGGCCTGCAGAGGAAGCGCCAGCCAGCGGCGGAAGACCATGTCCTGGGATGGTAATTCGTCGGGTGTTCGGGGGCCCATGTCGCGCGCATGTCGCGGCGTCGGGGGAACAAGCAGCACAGGTCGTCCCACTGATTAGTTGAGAAAAAGGAAATATATAGGAACAACAAGAGAGAGAGAGAGAGAGAAAGAGAGAAAAATAAATAACAACAACTCCACGCAATAATGCGTAACACCTGCAAAACACCGACCTTGGACGGAGGACGCAAGAAGCATGCAACATGCTCCCAGGATGCGAAGATGTGCTGCTTCTTGCGCTCATGCTTCGATATCGCGTCGCCTGCGCTGGTCTCAGCGATGACAGCTTGGTCACGGCAGAGGGGAGAACAGGGTCGACATGTCACAGCGGAAGCGGCACTGCAGAGCCAAGGAACACGGCAACAAAAAAGGGAACCGTGCGCGAGAAACGCATGTTATGACAACGCCTGATGCAGTGGCCCAGAATCTGGGCGGATAGGGGTGCTTGGTCGGAACGAGCGATATCAATACCGAAACACGCATAGATCGATCTGGCGGGCTGGTCCGGCGGGCAGACCGTAGCGGGCGGGGCGAGAAGGCGGGCCGACGCGGCCAGATCGAGCAGGCGGGTTGCTGAAGCGAGAGTCCTGCATGAATTGCGAAGAAGTTTCGAGCCATGGCGCGATTCCCGAATAAATCGCGGGGGAACTCGCAGCGAGAGCGTGATTCCCGAGTGTCGAGGGCGCGGCCTTTAAACGCATCGAAAGGAAATCCCACGCGAGAACGCGAACCCCTGTATACATTGCGAGGAGGTCCCGCGAGAGAGCGCACCTTGGAAATGAATTCTGAAAAAAGGACTACGCGGGGGCCGTTGTTTCTGTTACGTTCCAGGCACTGTAGAGATGCAGGCGCGTTCGCACCCGTCGCGAGAGACCAACTACCCCAAGGAGGGAGCAGAAGCGAGAGGAAGGCGACTTCGCACCTTACTCGAGAGACCTGAGGTCCCTCAGCGCGGGCCTTCCGAGGAATGGCCAGAAAGAATGACTATCGCGACGGAAGAATAGGGCGACTTCGCACCCTGCTCGAGAGACCTGAGGCCCCTCGGCGCTGGCCATCCGAGGAATGGCCAGCAAGGGTCGCGTTTTCGACAAAGAGGAGGGCGACTTCGCACCCGCTCGAAAGGCCCGCGGCCCCTGAACGCCAGCAAGCCGAGGCCAACCGGCACAGGTGCGCATCCGATCGGAGACACTGCTGGCGCCAATAAGCTGAAAACTGGCTGCATCACGGGGGCGACGCTGATCGAGAAGGAGGGGCGAGGAAGCCTCGGAGCCGCGCTGCGGAGACTAGACATTGCAAGACGAGAGGAAGCGCCTAATGATGCTTGACGATTTCGCGCGACCATTACATGGACGATTTCGCGCAACGTTGCATGGACTCCCTTACAGCGCCCCTTGACGCAGGCGCCGACCACAGATTGAGGAACACTGGCACACTGAAAGTCCCCCACGCATGGTGTACGAAAGGGCAACGGTTTGAAGCACCCGCTGCTTGTGCCACACTGGCAGTCGTGATTGCACCTGAGAACAGGCCCTGGTCGCGGTTGCGCCACAATTGCGCGTCAGAGGTGGCGCGCGTGCGTGCTTCGCACTTGTCCCTGAAGTTTTCCCCCCAAAAGCAATTGTCGCCGTAAACCACCCTGGACGCACGGCAGACCGGCCCGGCCTGAAGACTGAGGTTCAGTCGCTTTGAATCCTCATCGAAAATGCTGTGGGCGTTCGTGGTAATAGTCGTGCCAGACGGGGGTCATGCTGTGGCTGACGGCGGAACTGCTTTGCTTCGAAGTGCGTCTGCTTCGCGACGGCTGTCATCTTGGCACTGTTCTGCAGCAGCCCTGTCTCGTCCTGCTCATCCAAGGCGCACAGGAGGAGGAGGAGGAGGAGGAGGAGGAGGAGGAGGAGGAGGAGGAGGAGGAGGGGGAGGAGGAGCGCGCCCTGGTCAGCGTGAGCAGAAGCATGCGACGTGGGAGGGGCGCCGCGCAGCGCCGCTCGGCGCCCTCCGGGGGCTCGCGCGCGTGCAGACACACCATGTGCGACGGGCGCCTGCGCAGCACCGCGCGGCGCCTCCTGGGGCTGCTGCGTGGACAACGCCGTGCTTGAGTCGGGCCTGTCCCCCTACAGGGGGATTTTCGACGAAAAATAAAAAAATACCCCAAACATAATCAAATAATAATCCAACAATAATCGGGGGACTATTTTTTTAGTATGTTTGGACCTTTTGGGGGTATTCTGGAATATTTTCTATTTTTCGTCAAATCGAAAATCCCCCTGTACGGGGACGACAGAACGCCATGCACGATGGGGACCGCGCGACGCCGCATGGTGCCGTCGGGGGGCTCCTGAATGGGAGCGCACTTGCACGGCGCCAGGGGCGCCGCACAGCGCACGCAGGCGCCCCCCCCCCGGGGGGGCCCTTGCATGGCAGGACACAAGGCGCCAGGTGCACCGCGCGGCGCCTCACGGCCCCCCCCCCCCCCCCATGGGCTCGCGAAAAAAAAACATATGAGCGAATGGCGCCGTTCGGCGCCGTGCCGCTACATCTGGAGGCTCCCGCATGGAAGCGCACAATGCGCGAGCGGCTTCGCACGGCGCCGCACGGCGCCAAGCGAGGGCCCATGCGGCGCGTCGGAAACCACTGAAAAGGGGAGAGGTGAACAAAAACACAAAAACATACTGACTGGTTTGCGTCGGCGCGCCCCTCCCGAAAACACAGCCCCTACCGCAAACGGAAAGCGCAAGCCGGTCAGACACTAACCGGTCACTGCGCGGTCGAGATGCTTCTCCAAAGACGCCAGCGAATTTGCCTCAAGGCCGGCCCCGCATATGCGTTGGCGGAACACTGAGCCTTCGAAGATGATGTCACGAGGGAATGACATCGTTCAGGCTCGGCAAGCAGTGGCCTGGACTGGACCAGACTCGATTGAAGTGGACTTTGGCGGGCTGTGCCCATTGGGC